ACATTTTTGCACATTATTTTGCACAATGGTTCTGTTGTATAAAGATTGGAAACAATTTTCTTTAAGATGCGTCTGAAGAAGCATCGCTGGCACAAGAGGATCTTGAAGACCCGAGACCCCTTGATCTTCTCTGTGGGCTGGAGACGATTTCAGAGCGTGCCGCTGTACAGCATCCAGGACCACAACATGCGCAACCGCCTCCTGAAGTACACTCCTGAGCACCTGCACTGCAGCGCAACCATCTGGGGTATGTTGGTACTGCAGCTGTTTGTTTATTGAACATATGTAACTAGATCCATGTACTGTAATGTCTACTAGTATATCATGGATGGCAAAGCTTAACAGTTGTTTATCATGACTATATATTTGCTTTCTTGCTCCCTGATCATGATACTCCCACTCTGCATGTTAATAGCTTGACTTGAACAGTATAGTATAATAGAATGGTACATGTAGTTACCATGTTTCTCTTACCTGTTTATGTATTACATATCCACTCTATGTCATGTGTATGTACATTATTAGTTTTAAGTAGAGGTAGAATGTTAAATTAGTAGAACATAGAACTTCATGTTAGTATATGGTTTCCTCATTAAATTGTTATTGTCAATGTCTGTATGCAATTAGCCCTTGGCATGAACTTGCAATAAAGCTATACTATACTATTATTCTATGTCCTAAAAGCACAATATTCATGCAATGTCCTCTACCTTCATAGTGGTGCATCTACATTTTTGCTGGTGTGCCAGATTTTTTGGGTTTATGAACACTCGTTCTAAGTCAAAAAGTTAGTCTGGAGCTCTTCTTCTGTCCACTGTCCAGGTCCCATCACCCCACAGGGCACGGGCGTCCTGTGTGTCCAGTCTGTTGGGGACCGGTCGTCAGACTTCAGGATAGCCACCACAGGAGTCGTGGTGGAACTGGACAAGTCTGTCAACATTGTGAAGAAACTGAAGCTGACAGGGTACCCACTCAAGATATACAAGAACACAGCCTTTATCAAGGTACCGAAAATGCCTTAAGTTTACTTTTGTGGTGGTTTCACTTTGCGTAAGGAGTAAAAATGAAGTTTTCTCAATGTTTAAGTTTTGTGTTTTTGGAGAGGTCTGGAAAAGGGTATTATCACCACCACCCTTTAATATTAGATATGAACACAACTAGTTACTTTCATGCCATGGATGCCACTAGACTTCTGTATTACAAGTTAGTTAGACGTCACCCTGAAAAATTTTCGCACTACTAAGTATAACTTCCAACAGAAAAAATTGGCGCTTACCTAAATTATCAACCATTAAATTCCAGTCATTGTCTAGGATAAGCAATCCACTGCTTCTGTAATGTCATGTTATGAAGATATAACACATGTGAACAGTGGATCAGTACTCAGTAGTAATAGTAGAAAATGGGTGGCACCCCCCATCTCTGTTGAGTACGGGATATTAAGACATATGTATTGTACCCATAGAGACATGTATTACATGTATTTTCTTGTGTACAGGACATGTTTAACTCCGTCCTGGAGGTGGCCAAGTTTGAAGGAGCCACTGTGAGGACCGTGAGTGGAATCAGAGGCACCATCAAGAAAGCTATCAAGGCTCCCGAAGGGGCCTTCAGGGCCACGTTTGAGGACAAAATCAAACTGAGTGGTACGTTTGTATAGAATTTCATCAGGTTGGAAACAGGCTGTGTAAGAAGGTTTTTTTTTATTGAACAACCAGGGGTTTTCACATCCAACGTTTTGATAACCGTCTGTCATATTCTTCTGTGACACCTAGCTGCAGTATGAAAAAGAAACAGTCATTGTTGCCCTTACAACCCTCTTATGCTATCTCACAGATATAGTGTACACTGGACTAGTAGCGTGTGTAGTCCAGTGGTTAGCGATCCTGCCACTGGACTAAGAGGTTGGGAGTTCGAATCCCGGCTGATGTCGCTCACCCGACATGCACGCTACTGTTTAGGATCGCAGTCCTTAGGACGGGACGTTAATCCATGGTCCACTGTTCATTGCGCTTGTCGAAAAGAGCTAGGGGAATTTCCCCGGTACAATGAACCTGTAAATACTGTACATAGCGTCTGTCTTCTCTGTCACGGCCTGTGGAAGAGTAGCTCTTCAGTGAGCTAAACTGGTTCGAGATCACTTTCACTTTTTTGTGTGCGTACATGGTGCCCAGTCCAAGTGCCCAGACTGTACAACCCCCTTACCACCCTCCTGTTCTATGTTACAGATATAGTGTTTGTGCGTACATGGTGCCCAGTCCAAGTGCCTAGACTGTACAACCCCCTGACCACCCTCCTGTTGGCTGAGAAGGACAAGTGGTCAGGCATGAAGACTGTTGGACAGCTCAAGTTTGAGAGGGGAATCAGGAACAACCCCAGCCAGGACTCACTCTACAAGGTGAAGTCACAGTTTTATTTCGCAGAATGAACAACACATTTATTTTTGCTCTGTTTCTTTTTCTTCCTCTTCTTCTGTTCCAAAGAAATAAGGAATGGTAACTGGCACTGTAGCAGACACACTTTGGTGTTGGGTTACATTGTGTAGCAAGAGGCAGGAAAGAGCTGGAGGGCCTGGTCACCATCTACTGTTTATGAATCTGTTTAACTTTAAAGGAGAATAAACAGAGCAGATACTTTGTTAAGCTAGGCCATGTGAAGGTAAACATGGGTCTACCTCTTCCTTCCAACAGGTCTCTGGGTGAATACTGTTTTAGGTATTCTTTTGTCATCCATTCTTACAACTATGTGATGTTATGTGTGAATGGCCTGCTTTACACATAACTTTTTCAAGGCGACTAGAACTCAAGACGACTTGAGCTAGTTAACTTGAGCGAAAATTTCCCTGTGTAAAGAGAAATAATTCAACTCGAGTCGCATTCTAATAAAGATGACTTGAGTCGTATCCAAACCAGACTTAAGTCGGCCAGCGGAATGCCGAGTCCGCTAGCTTTGCGTGTGTAAACAGGCGAAGTCGACTTGAGCGTCTCTGCGTAGTAGTCAGGTAAGACCGAGCCGAGTACATGGCATCTTTGTTTAAGTGGGAGACTCCCTCAACATTAAGTGTATGGACTACTCGGTCAGAGGGACTAAGACCCTCACCTACTCTTCCGTCCACCAGCAAGAGTCACGGCATACTGGAGCAGTCTACAGTACTATGGTCCTTACCTGTGGAACACTCTTTTGCTACAGCAACGACAGCTCCTTAGTCTCAGGACTTTTAAACAGATCATTAGGAGCAGGACTTGATCTAGTTGATGTTTAGGATGTTGTATTTAGTAATTGTTTATGTACTGTGTATTTGTTGTGTGTATTTTTATGCATATCCTGGATTACCTGAAAAGCAGGCCAAAATGGCCTGAGCTGTAATTACCGAGTTGACTCGACTCGACTTGGGGGGAGGGTGGCACAGCGGGAGTGCCAAGTCACTTTTCGGCCCCGTGTGTAAACAGAGATTTTTCAAGTCGACTTCGCCGAGTCAACTTAGAAATCATTCAAATGGTGTGTGTAAAGTGGGCCTATATGGAATGATTCATTCTTGATTCTGTCCCTCCTTTAGCCCGTGGAGAGGAAGCCCCAGAGGTTCCGCCCCCTGAGGGTGCCAGCCAAGCTGCAGCAGCATCTGCCCTTCAAAACCAAGCCTAAACAGAACCCTGCCAAACCAGTCAAGGTCATGGATAGACCAGCCGTCATCATGGAACCACATGAAAGAAAGGTAGGATAATCACAGGGACAGTGTTAACTGAAAAACCCTGTAAATTTGTGTACTCATGTTTTAGGAAGAGAGAAGAGACCCTGTAGATATTGATGTAATATAGTATACCTAGTTATTCTTTCTTCTACCCTTATTCCTCAGTTATCTAACCTATGGTAACATTATGAATATATGTTAATATGCAATACAGTTCATGGTCATCATGAAAGTTCATCTGTGTTGGTAATAATCATAGTAAAATGTTAAACTTTATTCCAACACAAGGATTACACAGAGATCAAATTTTCAATGACCACTGTCGCCTTCATCACGATAATTAATGACCAATGACTTCAAAACATAAATAAAGAGGTCTTGGGTTCAATTCCTGACATGCCACCAATCTTGTGGAAGGCACCATACACGACTTTCCTCACCTATCTCAAGTGAAAATGAGTATTGTCCTGTCCTGTCCTGTATTTATTTCTGTGTGGGACACAACACCAGCAACAGCTGCCTGTGTCCCATGTGTACTGCATTCTTGCAATTTCAATTTTCAAATCAAACTTATTATATTCTCATATTCTTATGTTTGTTTCAGGTTGCAGCCCTGATGAAGGCCCTACGGTCTGTCCACAAGGACAAGAAAGACCAGGAGAAGAAAAAGGTCAAAGAGCGATACCAGAACTACAGGAAGCTCCTGGAAAAGGAGACCGCCAAAAGAGAGGCCCGAGAGAAACAGTCGAAGAGGAAAGTCTACTCCATGATGACCCAGATGGAGACAAAAAGGAAAAAGAAACAGGGACTCAGTCACGACGTTCCCAAAATGGGCAAGTTTGAGTAGACTGGAGACCATAGGAAATATGGTACATTATGAAGTAAGTTTAAACTGTGGTACATTATTTGTGGTACAAGTTTAAACTATGGTACATTATGAAGCAAGTTTAAACTGTAATTTCCAACACAAGAAATTGGACTCACCCAAATTTTCGACTGTACAACTCCAGTCTTTGTTAAGGAATGTGCAATCCACCGCTTCCGTGACGTCACGCAGATAACACACGTGACTCCGTGAGCAGTGGATTATAGGTTGCAGAAAGTCTGTGGTGCCCCCGTCTCTGTTGAGGGTTTGAATCTTGGTACATTGTGTAATAATTGAGCTATATACAATCTCGGTATTTCCCATTGTGGAAAATGGCTACTGCTTTCTAACTTGCTTGTGTTTCCTTTGCCTAGAAGGGCAAGTTTTCAGGTCCATTTCTTTCTTCATGGACAGTTATCTCAATGTAAGTTTATGTCGTTCAACGAGTAAACATGAGTAATGCAGTGACTATAACTGATGATCTGATCATGTCCATAACATGTGCTTATTACCCCACCAATTGCTCCTACCTTGACACATAACTGTGTATTTTTATACCCACTTTCTGACCAAATTCGTTTAGTTAACTTGTATTTTCATTTCAGTTTATTGTCACTCATACTTCTGAAATGTCAAAGTGTCACCTCTGAAAGGTGGTGTTTTATAAAAGTATTTTCTAATCAATATATGCGTCAATACAATGTATCTGTTCCAGGTTTTTGACACAAAGAAAGACAGGATCCAGCAGTGCACACAATGCGCGTTTATTTTTTAAATGTTAGTTTAATGAAGATCGATCGTGTTCTAGCTGTATCATTTTTAAAGATTTCTTCCAGGTACTTTATCATGGTTGATACTTTAAAACCAACATCAGTTGTTGAGTACCGTACAACCAAGAACGTTCTATCAGACCTTGCTACAACCAAGAACTCTAATGACGCTGATTGTCTTAAGACACATGCGGTGTCTCAAGTTAATCAGGTTGGGAAAGTTATGTAAGAAAAGAAAGTGTGACAACACTGTTTTCTGATACAGAATACAACTCGCAACACAGCCTGTAGGTCAATGACCTGTAGGTCTGCCTGTGATTATTGAATGACGAATCATTTTTACTCTCCAATTCCCAAGAACGATACAGGCTCTGCCTACTCGTATATCACGACCTGTGCAGAGAACAGGCTCACAGTACAATAACTAACGTCAAGGTGTATGAATATAGACGATGATACCATAATTTAGTATAGTCTGAAGAAGTAAGGATATCTTTGCCCATATTTGGGTTGTGGGGGGGAGGGGCGGTATGACGTCTTCTGAATAGCGTTTTGTTTTTCTGCAAGAAGCAGACTCATTTTCGGGGAAAAAGAGCTTATCTGTAATCTCCAAGCAGATCCCTTTCGGTGGCAAGACAGTATCCATTAGCCAGAAGAGTTAGCACGGCTTCTCCTCTGGCTAATGGATACTGTCTTGCCACCGAAAGGGATCTGCTTGGAGATTACTTATCTGGACTGGGAGGTAGAAACATTGAACAATATTCAAGCTTACTTCAAAACTCTTCATTTAAAAGTTGACTTCAGACAAGCAAAATTAGCAGACATATTCTGTAACAGAAACTTTTGGTTGCTGCAAAATGAGTAGAAATTGGCATCATGATGTGTGAATACAGCAATAAATATTACAATTTTCTTTTTTTTATTTCAGTCAAATTTTTCTTTCTTTCGTTGCTAGCATTGTGCAGTTCTACTTCATGACATTCCATTCATAATTTCTTCTGTGTTTAGTTTTCTACTCGACAAAATTGAACATTTGGGAAAAACAAGGTGCTATCCTGGCCCATTGGTAAGATTGTTATGTTTTAGTATATAGTTTTACTGCAGGTAGTGGGAGATCCGTTGTATTATGTACAGTACTAGTGGTGGTGAGAGTTTCGCCTGTCCAGGCCTCAAAATTAACTTTCTTTCCCATAGTCCCAACACTGTCCCGAAAATAAATTTCAATTGTCCCGAAGTGAGGATGAACTGTCCTAACCTGCTTTTCAGGAAGTGAACTTGAAGTTAGCTTTATTTTGCTTACATTCTGACTTCCAGGCGCACTATAATTGTAGAGTAAACGGGAAATTTGGGGAAGCTTTTTCTGGAGCCAAACAAAAGAAGGGCTGACATTCTGATGTTGACTATTTTTCTATTGTCTTCAAAAATGTCCCAAATTGTCTTTTTAGTTATCCCAGTTTAAATTTTAGTGGTCACTGGCCATCGGAACACCGTCGATTTCGAGCCTTGCTGTCGCGGCAGTGTCGCCTATGGACCTCCTGAAAAAATGAGCAGAATTAGTGGGAATTAGATGTGGAATGGTTTGTTTTGACATGGGTGGTGACAAGAACAATCATTGTGACAGTTGTTGTGTGACAAATAATTAAAGGTATCTTCTGTAATTTCAGAGCGGCCAAACTGGAAATACTCAGAACCAGAAAGGTAACATTTGCAAAGCAAATGCATAATGTTTACCTTCGCATAATTGGTCTGCTCTGTTAGTTCTTACTAAAACACATTCATATATATGGTTAGACAGGAGTCTAAATCCCTCCTGCTGTAAAATTGGAACATGGTGTAACCTAACACCAGTTACCATGGTGACAGACATCATTGACCTTATTTGTTTTTGTAGAAGAAGATTTTCCTTCGATAAACATGATAAGGCAATCTGTATGATGTTGCCTCACACTGCCCCACAATAGCGCATCTGCGTCAATACAAAATGTATTTCATATTTTGGGCATTTAAATCAGTGCAGAAACAAGACTAAAACATTGAATTTATTTGAAAAATCTGGGTTGGCAAATGTAAGGGTTTTAGGAAACGCTACGGTCACAATAAGTACCTGGAGCAGTCTGGCAAAGGAAGTTAAACTTCTTGTGGCATTGGATGTCGTTCCACTTGTCTTTCTCGGATACGAGTGAGGCGTAACGAACGCAATCTTCGTCGCCCATGCGGTCGTTTGGTTCTCGGAAACCCCAAGAGTTGAACGCCCCCAGTGGAGAACCGTCCACCCACTCAAACCTTCCCTCTTCGCGCCGATCGTGCAGATCGAACCAGAACCAGGCTGTGGGCCAGGTGTCGCTCACGGTCCTGTACAGGGAGATGAGGAAGGCGTTGGTCTCGTTGTCTCGGGGCATGGCGAGGGTGCCGCCGTCCTCACCGCAGGTCGCCTCCGCTTCGCTGAAGGTCTTCTGTGTGTCGAAGGCCTTGTAGCAGATTCCACGCCACATTGTGTAACCTCCAGGACAAGATGCTGGAAAATAGTTGCCCATCATTGAGACATTGTTTACCAAAAAAACAACAACAATAGACAAATAGTTACATTTGCTTCATCAAAAGTCCCTATATAACTATCAAGCTTTGTAGTTTTGACGACTCCTTCCAACATTGGCACGGGAGGAACTACATGGTGCTATTAAAGAAGGTGCTAAGGTAAGAACATCATAGATACAGGTAGATAGATGTTTATAAAGATATAGGTAGATAGATGTTTCCGAGCACAACATAAAATCGTATAACTAAAATGAACTTACCTGGCGTCTTAGTCATCTCGTCAAGACGCTGCTCCAAGATTGTGATTCGGTTTTCCACCTTGTCCAGGTGGCGTTTCAAGGCGTCAACAGTGATGGACAGGTTGCGCATGCCGTCTTGGTCGCGTCTCAAGGGCAAGGCGTCAACAGCCGTAGAAAGTTGATAAATGTCGTCCTGGTCGCATTTCGAGGCGCCACTAGTTGTGGACGGTTGGTGGGTGTCGTTTTGGTCACGTTTCAAGGCGTCAACAATGGTGGACAGTTGGTGCAAGTCACGATTCCATACGTCAACGGTGGTGGATAGTTGGGATATTCCCTGAAACACACGACAGAATGCAAAACTTGACAGAAAATTGAGGACAAACAGCAAGACGTTCTTTATAGAAAAAGTTTCCTAAAACTATATGCATTTTTAGAAGAGTTATTTTTTAAACTGGATTTGAGATGCAAAGGTACAAGATTTTTTTACCTCTTTATTGCTGAACGTCAGAGGGGCGAGTCCCACAGACCCCAGGCTCAGTAGCACGGCGATGCCGGCGGCGAGGCAGCTGCAGTGGGAGCGGATGAAGCTACGAAGACCACGGCGGACGCTTGTTCCATCGGAGCGGGATTGGGGCGGCGACTCGCTGGTTACAACCCCCGGCCGGGGTGACTCCTCCTGCCGCCTAGCTCCCTGCAAAGACTGCGGTAGATCTTGATCCTTTATTGTATAGTAAACTCTCTCGGCTTCTTGGTACTCTTCTTGACACTTGTCAGAAGCGCTGTTGCGCTGATGAACGGGAAGGGGTTGAGGCGGCGGCTCGCTGGTTTTAATCCCCGGCTGGGGCGACTCCTCCTGCCGCCTAGCTTCCTGCGAAGACTGCGGTAGATCTTGATCCTTTATTGTATAGTAAACTCTCTCGGCTTCTTGGTACTCTTCTTGACACTTGTCAGAAGGTTCGTGCGGCGGACCGCTGGCTTGGCCGCTGCCGGGTTCCGAGAAAGGTACATGCTCTCCCTGCTCGTACATTTCGACCTTACCGTTTGCAAGCAACAGGTAGACAGAAAAATAACCAACTTTCATAAATGCATGAATATTGATACTGATGCCATGATTAGTCTGAAGAAGTAAGTAAGGGTATATCTTATATAATATCTATGCCCATATTTGGAGGTGTGACGTGGTATGAGGTTTTTGAAATGACATTTGGTTTTTTTCTGCAATCGGTGGACCAATTTTCTTGGAAAGAAGTTACTCTAGACTCGTAATGACGTCGATTTATGAATATGAGTCCTTTGCACTGTAAAATAACGTAACGTAACGTAACGTAAAGTAAGTTAAACGCAAAAGAAATAATGATTGAAATCATTCAGAACTGTACAGTGATAGTCATTCCTCAGTGTTGTATACTTTATTAGAGAGAATTTACAGATCTTGTGAAAAGGGAAGAGGTCCTAGCATATGCATGACTTGACCTGTTTCTACTACTAAGCGTTCTACGATGCACTTTAACTGTTTTACAGTAGGCTGGCACCCTACATACGTTGTAATGTAGATCGGACACGAACTTCAGTCAGCAATACAAGACAAACAGTGCTGGAAAACTTTGAGTAGTACACCTCCTTAGAGGAGGACTGAAAACGATGATGACCAATTAGCTGTAGAACGAAGTAGCTAGATACAACCTTTATACACAGACTGGCCACACCCTATGGCTATATGCATGCCCGTAGCCAGATTTTGAATGGGAGGGGAGGGGTTATTCCCACTGCTTGAGGGATCAGCGACCCCCCGGGAAATTTTGAAAAATGAACCTTCTGAAATGCCTGTGTTTTTTAGGGGATTTTAAAGAAAAAATCAGAGATAACTTTTTTCAATGACAAGGTGAGCCGTTTTCCTACGGTTCCAGCCCCACTGGTGACACGAATCAGTCCATCTTTTAAAGAAAAATCTTGGACCTTTAGATAAAAAGTGGACATTTGAGCCCTG